GCCAGCCTGGTCTACATAGTGAAGTCTTATTTCAAAAAAACAAGTAAAAAATGCAGTGACATTGAAGAGAAATAACTAATACATTCTTAAATAATTTTAAGTAGCCTGGCAGGATGGCATATGCCTGTAACCCCAGCACTAGGGCAGCTGAGGCAGGAGGACTGCTGCAAGGTCAGCCTAGGCTACACAGTGATTTCAAGGTCAGCCTGAACTGCATACTAAGACCCTGTCTCAAAAAACCAAATTAATTAAAATTAAAATAACTGGTGGTGAATGTCCAGAGTTGTCATTTTGTGACTGTCTTGTATCATGGATTTGATATGTGATAGTCACAGTGGATCCTTACTTAAGGAAATTAAGGACAGCGAGAATGCCTTCACTACCCTTAGATCAGGTGTCTTCCAGGTTAATCGTGTCCTTTGAAAAGTGATGAAATGCACTGGGTTTCTGCTGGAACATCACTGTGCAGCGTTGTGCGGGTTTCCTGGGACACCCTAAATACCCTGCATCTGAATATGGGGAGCCGTTGGTGCCTTTACAAATGACATGGCTTTCTCCTTTGTCCATCTCTGTTTAGGATGTGAAATATCCTGAGTATCTTGATATTCGGCCGTACATGTCTGAACCAAATGGAGAACCCGTTATTTATGCTTTGTACGCAGTGCTGGTCCACAGTGGATACAGTTGCCGTACAGGCCATTACTTCTGTTACGTGAAAGTGAGCCGTGTGGATTTTGCTCATTGCTTTTACATAGACTCTGTAGGAGAGCAAGCACTAGCATTCTTTGGGGGGAAGGTGGGAGTTTTACAATTGAAGTGTGAACGCTTCTTTTTCTTATTCTTTTTATTCTGTCCTTGTTAACCTGACAAAATCTAACCTTTCCCTCTTACTGGCTGTCTTTTGCAGGCTAGCAATGGCCTGTCGTGGGAAAAAGGGGTCCAGAGGTCTGGTTGACGGCTGTGGCGGAGGAGCAAGTCTGAGCATAATTAGACTCGTCATGTCCTTGGCAGACTGAGTGAGTCGCCTCGCCTAGGCTGTCCCGCTCTGACCTCTTACTTCCGCACCGCCCCCCTGCCAATAGTACCGCCTCCAAACCATGCCCCTAGCCCGCTTCTATTGCCACGCCTCTAGCCTGCTCTATAAAACACCTGATACTTCTACAATAAAATCGGATCTGCGCCATCAGCCTGGTCCCTGGTGTCTTCTTTTCACCGTGTTGCCGCTTACCACGGGCCCAGGTCCCTTCACCCAAGGAGGTTCAACCTCAGCCTGTGGTATCAAATGAATGACTCCACCGTATCTCCTAGTGATACTAGATCGGTACTCAGCCAACAAGCATATGTGCTCTTTTATATCAGGTACTGTCATGAAAACAAGTTACCACACTCTCTGTAATGTCATTTCTTTTCATGTCATCCACATTCAATTCCATTTTGAGTTTTTTTTTTTTATTTATTCATGTATTTATTTCTGGTACCAGGGATCAAACTCCGGACCTTGTGCTTGTCAGGCAGGTGCTGTGCTGCTGAGCTATATCCCCAGCCCTTGAGTCATGTTTTAAAAACCAGAGTTTAAGGATTACCCTGACGCATGTGTGCAGAGTACCGAGGCCACTTCTGAGTACGGATTATGAGCTTGCGTCAGCTTGCTGCTCTTTGGCACTCAGTGCTGCACATGCAGAGGAAGGGAAATGTGACAGCTGGGAGCGGGTGGCTTATGCTACTGGCAGCAGACGGAACGGACCTGGGGATGTGGAGGCCCTGGGTGGAGGGCTTGAGAAGGGCGCTCTGAGCACCCTGCATGGTCCCACCCAGCACCTCCCTAGTGCTGAGCACAGTGCTGGTTAGGCATCGGCCTGGGCTGGGACCAGCAGTTGGGCTGATCCTGCTGTAGCTGCAAGCTGACTTACAATTCCACTTTTGGAAAAAAAATCTGATGTGTACCCCACGGTGTCCCCCAACCCTGTTTTGTCCATGCTGGGAATAGAACCCAGGGCCATGAGCAAGTGAGGCAATTGCTACCACTGAGCCATGACCTAACCCACAAGGTGTCCTTTTTTATTGGTACCAGGAATCGAACTCACAACGTCGCACTTGCCAGGCAGGCGCTGTGCCACTGAGCTACATCCCTGACCCAAGGTGTTCTTTGTAAATATGGTAGCTTGAGATTAAGAATAACCTAAAATGTTCAACAATGGCAGAACGATGTGTTGAAATTTTATGCCATTGTTAAGAGTGATTTTTTCTTTTCTTTCTTTTTGGAGATAGTGTCTTGCTATGTGGCCCATCCCCTGCCAAGACTGACTGTTATAAACCTTTTCTTTAATGCTTTGGGAAAGTGCTGAGTGTATGCAGAGGGAAAGCAGTTCGAAATATCAAACCCTGGTGTTGGGTGAAAGATGGGGGACGACCTGTCCAGTCAAAGGGGAACCATCTCTGAGGGTTAGATGTGTTTTTCCCTTTTTTTCTGGACACTATGGGTTTTCTAAAATGTTATATATTTTTAATTTAAAAATGCAAACAGAAAAACTAGACTTCCAATAGCAGCGTCCGCAGAACACAGAGTTTAAAAATACTGTTTCCTGCCAGGTGTGATGGCACATGCCTGGAATCCCAGCACTCAGGGGCTGAGGCAGGAAGATTCTTGCAAGTTCGAGACCAGCCTGGGCTACAGAGTCAGCTCAAGGCCAGCCTGTACTGCGTAGCAAGATCCTGTTTCAAAAAGACAAAAACAAACAAACAAACAAACAAAAAAAAACTGTTTCCTTTGCCCAGCTGCGTTTGTGTCTTGAGCTGAGCACCCCGACACTGACCCACACCCCTAAAGCAGCTAATACACCGGATGGCTCTGTGCACAGTGACTGAGAAGCAGTATCTTTGCCATCAGTGTCTTTCTGAGGAAATTTGTTTATAAATCCCTCTCTACTAAGATGCCCTTCATCATCATAAGCCCTCTCATTCTTTGTCCCTAAGTCCCATGATGTGAAAAATGTAAATGAACTTACGCATTCCACCCGTCTCCCCGGCCAGTCCTCTTCCCACCCCATCACCACTCGTCGGGGTGTCACCAACAAGCAGGCTGCATCCGGGCTTACTGGCCCACAGCTTCCCTCTCACACGAGAAAGGTAACACTTTAGAGGTGGCGTGTGATTTTTACCTCACTCTAAGGTCTATCCTCAAACCTTCTCTATACCTGGACTTGTCAAAAAAGGTTATGCAGACCCTTCATTTCAAAATGTTAAATATACAGGAATTTCAGCATCAATAGTATGGTTGAGAGGAACATGTGGTGCGAGTATATCTTAAGGTTAGCACCCACTGTGGACTTGGGCTCTACTCAGGGGTCGGATAGGTGAGTTTGTAACTCATGGTAGACATCAGGAAAGTGATCCTGTCACAAGGACAGTTTATGTCCCTGTAGCTGTCTTAGGAGTGTGCTGTCCCTGAGGGTGTGACCGTGACCATGTGCCTTTGTGCCCAAGAGTCCTCACATGATCCGCAGGGTGGGGCCTACCATCCAGACTCCCTGGGACTCCATGCCCAGGCCATCTGCAGCTTGAACTACACTAGGTCATTGTTGCTGTCAGGTTTTACAACTTCTCAGGTTTTACAGTCCAAGCTGGACTACACAGCAAGTTTATAGGCAGCCTGGCCTACAAAGTGAACTGAAGTCTTATTTCAAAAAACAAATTAAAATATACAGAGTTTGAGTTTCATTTAGATTATCTAGCTGAATGTTTTTTTTTTTTTTTGGTAGATATTGGGCTCTGTTAAATGCCTTTATGAGCTGGGCTGAGAGCCAGCTTGAGTTGGGCTCTGCTTCATGGTGACAGTGGGGGACAGGCAAAGCAGAAAGTATGTGTGTAGGGAAAGGGGCAGCTGTGATAAGCTTCTTTTTTTTTTGGTACTGGGTACCAAACTCATGACCTTGTGCTTGCCAGGCAGGCGCTACATTGCTGAGCTATATCCTCAGCCCAATTGACTTTTCAAGAGTTGTTTGGTTTTTTAAAGGCAGCAACTAATTCAGATATTTAAGGAAACACCAACAGGCCAAACACTATTCGTCTGTGAACCAGCGTCACCTGTGTTGTCACAGAGGTTCAGCGGTAGCAATAGAAGATAGAGCAACAGATCTGTATGAGTAGAATGCCGAGACACCACTGGGTGGAGGCACGCAGTCGTAACCTCACATGCAGTACCTGAAGCAGCCTTTCCTTCTGCCCATGTGCTTTCCCCTTGCTTGGAGGTCAGCAAGCTGACCTTACTTCTATCTGCAGTGAAGGCCTCCCTGGAAACCAGCCAAGGAAAACATATGTGAACCTGTGCCAGGAGGGGTATGCTCTGACAGACATGTTAGTCCTGTGTGTGGATTAACTTCAAGAAAATTAGGGCCTGTGAAAAGTGCACGTGGATAGAGCAGATGAAAGAAAAGGGCGGTGTTCATGATTTGTGTAACCCGTCAGTCACAAGACCAAAGTGGGCAGGCCGATGGCTGGAGCAGACCCTGACTGGAGTGCTGACCTGGCTGTGGCTTTCTTCCTTGCAGAAATCACCTCATTTGAACAGGACCAGGCCAAGAAGTTCCATGGCCAGTCCGAATGGAAGTCCCCGTGTCAGCAGGATTAGTCCTGCTGACACTCCTACAGGAGTTAGCTGCCACCCTGCGATTGCAGAGCACCCTAAGGAACAAAACCTCACCATCAGCATTCAGGACAAGCCTGTTCACCAAGCGCAGTCTCAGCCTAACCAACACAGCAACTCCGGGGAGGCCCCTAACAAGCCTGTTCCTCCTACCGCCATCAGCTGCTCTGCGATATAGTCCACCCTGAATGCACTGTCAGTGTTGATTTCTAGTAAAACAGCAAAGCCACTCTCCCCAAGCGCGTCCTGCTCCAAGCAGTGATAAATGGCAAGTCCAAGGTGAGCTCCAGTGTGCTGGTCCCCTAGGATGCAGTCATCCAAAGAGTCCAACAAGGGTTCCAAGGGCCTGGCAAAGGGGAACGTTGTGGGCAGAATGGCCACAGCTCACCATGCTGGCCATGACGCCAAAGACGAGGAGGCCCCGCCACATGAGCTTCAAGAACCTGTCACTTTAAATGGTGCTAACAGTATAGACAGTGACCCAAAGGAAAACGGCCTGTCATTTGAGGGTGCCAGTTGCCAAGTCCAGCCTGTTTTGCACTCAGAAAATCTCTTTTCTAAAGCAAACGGTCTTCCTGGGGCCGTGAGTTGGTTGGGGAAGGCTTGGCTTTGAGCCTCATCTGTGGCCCGTTCACTCAGCCAGATTTCGGTCAGCATGGAGCTCACAGCTAGTGTTGAAAAGTCTTTGTTTTTTATTGTAGTTACCAGCTGCTTCTTTGCCTTCTATTCTGCAAGACAAACCTTTAGAGACCTTCAGGCTTAGCGACGAAGTAAAAGGCTCAACAGATGAAACCAGGTAAAGTAAGAATAAACTCAGAGGAAGTGAATTTCACAGTATAAAATCCAACGCTGAGTGGATGTGTCAGCGTTTTAACTCTGTAAAACTGTTACTCTGAACATCCTGAGCCCCCAGATTTGAAAAACAGTCTATAGGATATGCTCATTTGCCTTTGAGAAGAGTTAGAGAACAGTCTGCGACCGCTTGTTTTCTTCTGCGCCGCCTGCTCTGGCTCACAGTGCCTGTGCCCACTTCCGCGTCCGCTTCCACGTGCTTTCTCATGTCGTCTTTTCAGTGATGAGTGAGTGTGTGATGGGCATACTGAGTTTAGAGGAAGAGGAGTCCCTGAACTGTCATGAAGCAACTATTTTGTAAGGGTCTCTCTAGAAATGTGAAAGTAAATTCACAGAGAATATAATTTGCCCCCGCATTCAGTTTTAAGAAAAATCAATACACTGGCGCAGCTGTAATGTGACTCAGGAGTAAGAGGAAAGGAACTGGAAGTGCAGCCATGGCTGACTAGCGTGGAAACTGCAGGTGAAACTACTGCTGCAGGACACAGGGCATCACACGGGGCATTAGCTGGTGGCTGCCCACAGGCCCGTAGGTGTCCCGGGTGACCATTCACCGTAAACACTGCGTCCACATTTGCCATCTGGGCTGTCGTGCTGTGGTGGTGAACAACATGTAGTGAGCTCCCAGTCACATCACAGTGTGACCATCTCTCAGTTGCACAGCTGTTGGATTCCCAGAGTGTAGTGTCTGTGAGAACTGCAGCAATAATATAACTGGGATTTTCACCCACGCGGATGTGAGGATGTCGGGGGAGGAGCCTTCTTCCATGGCGCTGTGGCAACCTTGGATGGCCCTGAGAACAGAGTTAGGGTTGTGGAACTGTTTACGAAGAACGGAGAGGCAGAGGACATGCTTCCCACTTTACCTTAAGAGAGAATGGCTGGAAGTACTGTCATTCACACAGTGACTTTCCCCTTGTTTCTTTCAATGTGCAGAGAATGATTACACATTCGCATACATAAGGCCATGTATGTCCGCAGCCAAAGCACCTTCCTTCGTGTGAGCCCCAAGGGACCTTATAGTACACTCATGGCAACTGACTTCCCATGGGGTCCTGGTACAGGTCATCTCCTCCCTGAGGAGTGGAGATAACAGTAGGTCTTCTAGGGCTTCCTACAGCTGTCAGCTAACCTTGAGAGTGCGTCAGAGGCTGCCCAGCTGCCAAGGGCAGCCCGCATTTCCTACAGGAGGTTTTCCCAGAGCCTCAGTGATTCTCTGCTTTCCATAATTCAAGGAGCTCTTGGCTCTGTTGGGAAAGAGCTGCTCTGCTTCTGAGGCTCCAAGAGGAAGAAGGGGGCCAGGAGAGGCAGAAACCCATTGTCACTCAGCTCTTTGGTTCAGACTTAGTTCTTAAGAATAAGAAGTCCATCTGGAAGCAGGAAAAGCAAAGAGCTGCAGAATTATTGTTGCTGAAAAACAGGGTTGATATACATTTTATTCTTCCTCAATGAGAAAACTTGCTGTCCACAAATGATAGCCTGATAGTGGCTTGTAGCCAGCTATAGTTAAAGTGATAAAATATTTAGTAAATGTAAGCCATGACAAAACCTCTGTAGCAGTCCTGCTAACTACTGGCTTGTCTCTTTCTTTTGGCGGGGATGCAGTCCACCTGGAACAGAGAGAAGTCCGTCAGGGGACCTTGCTGCGGAACTTGAGACCGGGAGTGCCGCTGCTGGTTCCCATGACAAACTGGAGTCTGTCACAAGTCTGTGCAGCATGGTTAAGAGGGCTTTACTGTCCCGACAGCAGCGTCAACTCAACCGAAGAACTGGTCTCCAAAAACAGTTCATCCAAGCCTGATGAGTCTTTGCCCACCGTAAACAACCTCTGTAACACCAACAAGACAAGCATGGGGGATGATCCACTTCCTGAACTCTGTGACACTGGGAACTTAACACACAACACCAGTGAAACCCCCCGAGAGGTCAAAGGGCTTTTAATTGAGAGCCTGCAGGATTCTGGTCCAGAAGAAAAAGCAGAGAAGCTGAGCCCGGCTCCCCACACACATTCGGAAGGTAAATGTGCGCATGAGCTCTCAGTTTACCTGAGAGGAGAAGAGTGTGGTGACGCAGAGGTCCTGACCCAGAGCACAGGTGTATCTGCTGTCCCGCTGCCCTCTGCCCCGCCACCAAGGACCACAGGAGCCCATCCTGAAGGAGACCCTGAGCACAGTCTCGGAGAAGTGCAGCGAAGGTAAGGCTGGAAAGAAGTTCCAGATCACCCTCCAGTTAAAGAGAAAATCAGCAGCCTTAGAAAAGGACATCATCGTAACCACTGAGACCGCTCCTCCAGGGAGGAACATGTCCACAAAGGGAGGAGTCGGAGTCAGAGTCGGAGTAGGAATCGGTGTAGAAGTTGGAGCAGGAGTCTGAGCAGGACTGAAGACCATTGTCACGAAAAGTGGCGCTCCTTCACCAGAAGGCACAGCAAGCACAAGGGCCACGCCATGGAGCACTACAAGAGGAGCCATCACCTTGTATGCTATGGTGAGAGAGTCAGCCCCAGCAAGCACCTCAGTATGAGCAGGTACAGCTACCACCACTCACCAACCAGGAGCAGGGCTGTCCAGGACCGGAGCCTATACCACCACTCACACAGTGAGCGCGCCTGGCTCCGGGAGAAGCACTACCCTGAGAAGATGCCGCAGGACAGGAGCAGGTACTACCCCGACAGGTACACCCCCTACGCAGTCAGGGAGCCCAGTATGACGCGGCCACACAAGGACTCCTCCCGGGCCAGGAAGGGCTGGGAGCAGATCCCAGTGAGGGAGCAGACCCACCTCCACAGCCCACACACAGGAGCTGCAGCTCCTTTCCCTCTGCACCAAAAGCACTATCCCCAGGAGAAGGTGGCCTTCGGAGCTGACCACAATGGTGGCCTCTCGGATCGGCTTCATGAACACGAAAGCGTAAAGTCATGCAAACGCAGGTACGAGAGCACAGAAAGTAGGGACAGTCACCTGGAGAAGAAAGCCCACAGGAGCCTGCCGAGAGACCTGGACGAGCCTAAGGTGAAGAGCCGCAAAAAATCAAAGAAGAAAAAGAAATCGAAAGACAAACACCAAGAGCTTGGCTACAGGTGAGGGTGGGCTCTACCAGCAGGGTCTGAATTCCTCCTCTCCGTGAGTCCTGAGACCTCAGTTTCTACCCATTTCTGAAACGGTGCAGCTTTTAAGTTCTGTCCTATTTCATGTATCACAGAACGTCTCACTTCGCCCTTCTCAGTCAATGCTCTGTAACTCTCCTTGGAGAAAAGGTGAGTTCTGTAGAAGTAACCTGGGGATCTCTGACTTTAAGATCGGTTGTCAGGGGTAGTCACAGTTTCTGATATATTGTTTTCAAATTTAGTGACTACACAGTTGGCAGAAAATGGGAGGGCACGGTTCTGTTGATATTTGCCTGCTGCCTAGAATGGAGGTCTGAGGGCATCATTTATTTTCTTGGCCTTTCTCTCCAATTCTCAATATGAAACCTAAATGTCTCTGTGTTTTTAAAATTCTAAGTATGTTGATTTTGTGTGTGAGTGTGAGTGTGTGTGTGTGTGCATGTGTGTGTGTTTTGCTGCGGATCACACCCAGAGCCTTGTGTCCAGGAGGCAAGTGCTCTGCCAGTGAGCCATGTGCCCAGCCCTGGCAGTTGCCTTGAAACCAACTGGTTCACGCCAAGTCAGCATGCGTGGAATCCCTGTGTTTTCTAGATGGTGTGTTTTAAAATGAATCTTAGCAAAAATTGCCAAAGCCATATGAAAATAGGCAGTGGTTACTTCGGGGGGAAAAGGAAATCAAATCACAAGTCTCTTCCTCCTCTGTGCCTGAGACACATGGCAGAATGTTGTCTCATTCTCTTTCTTTCCATCTTTCCTTCTTTCTTTCTCTTTCTTTTTCTTTCTTTCTGTCACTGATTTCAAGAGATGTCACTTAAGTCCTCCTGGCCATGAAGCTGGTGAATTTATGGCCCTGGGTTACTACTGCTGAAAGGAGACAACCAGTTTTTAACTAGATAAGCATTTACCTGTGCCTGTACATTGAGCATCCTCAGTAAGTGGTCACGACAGTGCCAGGTCCTGTCTGAGGTGGTGCTGGTGTTTGGGTTGCTAATTTCTGGCCGCTGCTTCTGCAGGTATCGGCTGGATCCATGTGTTCTGGTAGTGTATTCTGACGCTGACCTCTGCAGACACAAAAAGAAGAAGAAGAAAAAGAGGAGGCGCTCAGGGAAATCAGAAGATTCTGTAAAAGAACCAAGATTGTACTTACTGAAGGTCTTAAGATATGAGACTGTCAACCATTTCTGGAGACCTGAGGGGAGCTTTCTGTTCGCCAATGGCCTGGCTGTGGAGGTCAACAGCCTTTTCCAAAAGAAAACCAAGCATTTAAGGATGGAGAGCAGGGCCGACAGATGCCACCCGGTGGAGTATGGCCAGGGTAAGAGGAGATTCTTCGAACTGAGAAGAGAAAAACTCTTGATAAGTTTTTCTGGAAATGGCAACTCACACATGGAGATGGAACCTTAAGTGCCTTGAAAGGGCACTGGAGTAACGCAGGGCTCCGGCCTCACCCCTGTTGACTCCCAAACTGTGTGAATCGTTTTCCCTGTGTGGTTTGGGTACTTGATGCTGCTCCATTAGCACTGAAGGATGGTGACGTGGACCTAGAATTTATGGCGTTCCGGTTGTCTGAGTATTTGCTCACAAGAGAAAACTTCTGTGTTTTCCAAGCATTTTTGGTAGCAATGCTTTTGCATTATTTGCTTTACTCTGCTGATTCCTTAAAGCACTCACAGTGTATCCTAACTCATAATGTGACCACATGGGACATTGGAAATATTAGCGGCCACCTCTACCAGTGATGCCTTTGAGGCTCCTGGCATTACTGACTCACTTCAGGCTACTGGGCGCCTTGGATTCTTGAGTGTAGACTGTGTCTTTTCATAATTTAGCAGCTGTTTGTGCTCTGATTGCTCTTGGACAGCCCCTCCCCCTTTCTAACTGGTTCCCTGCCGAGGATCCTTCAGAAGCTTGTTAAGAATGAAAGCGATAGGATTCGGGGCCTGGGGCACAGGTTGGCAAGCTGCTTCTCGAAGGCCAAAGCTGGCCCTGCACCTGTCTCACATCACCTGTGAGGTAAGAATGGCTTTCATGTTTTCAAAACTTCCAAAGAGGAACAGTAGTATGTTTCACCTGAAGAACGTGTGAAATTCAGGTATCAGTGTCTGTAGACTTTAGCTGAAGCACAGCCCGTGTTCTGCGTGCTGCTGGCACTCTTGACAGAGGTGAGAAGTTGCAGCTGAGAGGGACACCCATCATACTCTAAGTGTTTGTCACGTGGCCTTTCACAGAAAAGGAAGTTTGCCAGGCCCTGCCCTAGACACTGCGGAGAAATGTGTTACCTTGGGGAGGCCCAGGCAGGGGAGGCCCGTGGCTCCTGTGGTCCCTGGTTGGGTGCAGTTGTCATGGGTGTGAAGAGAAGCTGGCCTGAGAAACGCTGAGACCACCACAGGGGTACAGGCTGACACCTGCTGCCAGGACTGGAGGGAATGTGGCATTTGCTCTAGGTTCACATTAACATTTCAGCGATTTGCGGAAGGGAATTGGTCCTTCTCAGCTCCATGTGGTACCTGAGGATCAGATATTGAGACGATTAGGTCTGCGTGTCGGGCAGAGTCGCTGCATTGTCAGAGTCCCTCATCCTGGCTGGGCTGGTCAAGCCCCAGAGACCGCCGATCTGGGGACAGCAAGTGGTCCGACTTGGTGCTGGCATGGCATTCAGGGCTGAGCCCACTTGTCCACTGCAGGTGCCGCAGGCAGGTCGTGTCTGAGCAGTGGCCGAGTCCGCCCCTAGTCCAGGGGCACTGATGACTGATTGGCAGCCAACTCGTCTGTGGGCTCCAGGCCTCCTGAGAGGGGCCCTGGCTGAGGGCGACACTCTGCCATGTCCTATAGCCTTGCCTCCATGTCCTTTGAACACTCCCCTTTCTCTTGCAAACTCCTGAGCTCTGGCTCCATCCAAATCCGGTGCATTTCTTTGGCCGTGGCCTGAAGCCTGTTCATCCTGCTGTGAGAACTCAGCAGTGTGACGGGGCAGGCGTGGCCTGTTCCCCAGGGCCAGCCTCTCCAGGCATCTTCCCTGAAAACAGTGGCCTTCCAGTGTCATGGAAACCCATTTTGCTTTCAGGAGGACACCTGCAGCAGTGCTTGTGCCAGCCTGTGCTCACTCAGCCTGACGGGCTGAGTGCAGGCAGCCAGTGTTAAACTACAGGAAAACTAAGTCTAACTGTAACCACTTAATGCACACCCAGAGCACAGACACTACAAATTGTACAAAGTCATTCAAATGTTTCCTAACCTTTGCCTTCCAGGTGATTAAAACCTTGGCCTCAAACAAAAAATGCACTAGATAAGGCAAGTACTTTCCTGTCTCCCCATTCTCTTTGTAGAAGCACTGAGGGGGGACAGAGAGGGCATTTCACTTCTGAGGAAAACCCAAGGCCTGGGGTGGAGCTGTGGAAACAGCAGCAGGGGCGGGGCGCTGAGCTCCAAGCCAGCACTGGAGAGCGCGGGGACCTCTTTCCCCATCAGCTTGCTAGGACTAGCGCAGCCTTGGCAAAGGGAGGGCGGTGGCTGTTTCCTACCTGCTCCCTCCCTGAGGAAGCCAGCAAGGCTCTCACAGTCAGAATCTGCAGTCATTGGATAAGCATCTGGGATGAGACGTCCGTGTCCCCAACCCAGACAGCAGAGCCCATCCCAAGAACTGAGCACCTAGGGCTAGAGGTCATGGTGAGGCTGGGTCATGCCCCTCACCTGACACGGCCACTCTGTTGGGAGGAGGTCCAGGTGACTTAGAGCAGAACCTTCTCGGTGTCAAGACTGTGCCTGAATCACTCCTATTCTGTGGTCCTGGGAGGAGGGGACTCCTGCTTCATGCTGTGCACTTGGGAGGTAAAGCGGGTGGTGAACCATTCAGCCGGTGAAAGGAGACTGTCCTTCCTTATGTGTCTCCAGCCAATCAGCAAGGGTGATTTTCAGTGAACTTCAAGGTGAACTGTCGATAGAAGATCAGTGTGCAGTTAATTAACATGCTCTATCTGTGCATCCTCAGGGGATGAACTAAGCCTAAAGAACTAATTTCTTCCTGAGTATAAGCAGTATCTAAGCATTGAGAAGAATTAGCCACAGGTGGAGTTCAGGCTGGTGGGTGCAGCGGGGCCCAGCAGGTGGTGCTTCATCTATGAACAGCTCTTTCTTTGAGTCCATTTGGGGCCACATCAAACTACTTGTAAGTGTTTCAGGACCCCAGAGATGGGGAGGCTTGTGTGGGTCCAGGGTCGGTCCAAACAAACTTCAGATGATAACGGGCCCAGCAAGACAGCTGCGGAGGCTGTGGAGCTGCCATCTCCCCTCAAGGATCCTCCTTGGAACTGCCTGCCCCCCTTTGTCTCTGGAGGAAACTTTGTCTTTGGCCAGAGTTCGGACTGACAACTCAAGACTGAGTGCAGACCCTCAGGTGGAGAGGTGATCGGCGTGACTGAGCCTCTCCACCCCTGTAGGGGGAGGGGTCCCACGTCTGCAGTGTTGGGTGGAGGCCAGGTACACAGCATGATGGCAGGTGCCCTCAGGTTAATACTTCACAAGAAAACCAGGGATTAGGTGATTTCATGTAATACTCTTGACAGGGCAAGTCACTTAAGATTCTGCACTCCAGGGCCTTCTGCATGATCATGGGTGAATGGCCATCGCCCAGAGCTGGCTCACAGGTGACCGCGGTGATAAAAGGTTCACCACCACATGACTCCATGCTCCCTTCTCTCAACACCCTACAAAGGAAGCTGCACATCCCCAGGGTCGCACCTGCGTTAGACAATCAGGAGGGAGGAAGCCGCTAGTCCCTATGTGAACTGCTGACCCAACCCTGCTGCAGTCCCTGGCACCGCTGGCCTGAGGGTGGGCCGTTGCATGGAGGCATCATGCTTGGTCCAGGTCTGGGCAGCACCTCTACACGGCAGATGGGCCAAGTTGCATGTGCACCAGTCAGACATGTCAAGGCAGCTGACTTGCCTTGCTCAAACACTAAAGTTTCAGGTATGAGGTATCAGTAAAGTAAAAGCATAGATGCTTGAGCATAAATCACTAAATCAGTCTATTGCATGATGGAGAGTTTCAGCCTTGGCCTCTCTGCAGTCTGGTGTGACCTAAAGCTACACACGAAGGTCAGCCACCCAGAGGCAAAGGGCCCAGGGCTGCACAGTCTCTGCATCAAGGCAGCTCAAGGGAAGACTTATGTCTGGGTAAGTGCACTGGGTCTGAGGTTTTCATTCCTGGACTTGCTTTCGCACAGGAATACAAAGAACTCCAAAGGGTGCAAACTCTGGGGGTGCCAGCACAGACAGGGAGAGGGAACAAGTCTGGGCAGGGGTCACCAGCAGAACAGCCCGTGTATGGAACTGAAGAGGGCCCAGGTGTTAATGCACGGGCACCCCAAAGGTGCAAACAGAGGTCCTCAGGAAGCAGGCTGTGACACCCAGTGCCCTCAGCCTTGCCCAGCTCTGACAGTCACAATGGTAGGGCCATCAATGCCTCTGTTGTCTGTCTCAGTGAGCCCACTCCGATTGAGATCTGGGGCTCTCCACTGTTCACAGAAAACCCTAAGTGCCACACACCTTCAGCCAGGGCTTGCTCTCTTCCTCCTCACAAGGGAAGCTCAGGTCTGAGAACATAGTACTGCAAGAGGGAGACGATGGACTGTTCCCAGTCACTTACAAGTCTAAAGTAAGAAATCTGACTATGTCAGGGAGGTAAACATTTTGCCAAAGGGTTACATAACAATGGTAGTGGTAAAAAGCTGATCTAGCCAGACATGGTGGCCGCATGACTATAATCCCAGCACTCAGGAGGCTGAGGCAGGAGGATCACCACAAGTTGGAGGCCAGCCTGGACTATACAGCGAGACTCTGTCTCCAAAGGAAAAAAGCTGATCTGACCCTTGGATTCTGTGGAACCAGGTACAACTGCTGTCTGTGTGGGCCAGAAATGGTCAGATACAAGCAGTTTCCTGTGGTCCATCCTGTGAGTGATCTCCCTAGGGAAAGAGCTCCTTTACCCAGGATTCAGCAGTTATAGGACAAACAGCCCCAAACCGTAACCATATCCTAATGATTGGTTTCAGAAAGTAGACGTAGGGCCAAAATGTCTGAAAGAGGGTTATACCTGGAGCCCCCAAGTGTACAGGTCCTAAAGGACGCTAGCACCTCCTGCAGCTCCCACACAAGTGCAAGTGCCCCAGAGCCCTCCTTTTGGGTGCTGCAAATACTTTTTTCTCAGTGCACAGTATGTACTTGCGTCCAGGAGTTACATTTATAGCTGCCATTCTAAAAATACTACTGTTAGAAAGTGTCTTTCACTTCAACTTCAGGATAGAAAAAGGCATGTAAAAGTTGTAATCCTACATATCTGAAAAATTCCCAATTTAAAAAGTGGTAGCTTTTCCATTCCCATTTTGATATAAAACAGCGATTTTT